ATATATATATATATATATATTATCCTTCTTTCATAATAACGATACGCACAGGTGGCAAGTTCGATGCTGTCACGACCGTTATGTAAAAGCTTTGCTTATATCGAAATTCACGATGCATGCTGTGATCAAGTCTTGGCACCGTCTTTCGCGCAAGTCTCTCTACCTATATACTTATATTTACATATATTTTCACACACACACACACATATATATATATATGTACATATATATATATATATATATATATATATATATATATATATGTACATATATATCTCGTTCGTGTGAAAAATTTTGGGCGTATTCGCGTTAAAAGCAATCCTTCGCGGATTTATTGGCGGTACTGGGCACGGCTCGTAAAGATTCGCGGGGAATTGCACCAGCCGGAATTGTGCGTGCGTATTTGTGGTGCGTACATGTGTAAATAAGTACGACAGAGAGAAATCTCGATTAAAATCGTTCTACCTCTTGCACTCGGACTCGTAATGGATGACTTTATAACGGTCTCTCTTTCTCTCTCTATCTCTCTCTCTCTTTTTTTCTCTCTCTTTCTCTCTCTCTCTCTCTTTTTCTCTTTCTCTTTCTCTCTCTCTCTTTCTCTCTCTCTTTCTCTCTCTCTCTTTCTCTCTCTGTCTCATTCGTTCTTTCTTTCTTTTTTTAAAACGTAGTCCCGAGAAAGCTTCGTAATCGAATTACGTGCATTCTTCGCAAACAACGTTATTACATTGGATCGTTGTTTACGAATTGCCGTCCCGTGAAATATGATTTCTTTTTAGACGAAGGATATACGAGCAGTCGAGACGTTTCGCGTTACGTTTCTCTTTGTGCCCGAGCGAGCGATCATTGTTACGTCGAACGTAAGTTCGCGATCTTTATACCCCCTGAAATCGTTCGACCGGCGAACATTATACCCCCGTTAACTTTTTCGATACTCACTGCATGCATGCTTTATATACCTACATACATGAATATTCTACGAGCGTCGAGGAGAGTCATGACTCCATCGTTGCAATAACGATCAGCTGTTTCGAGGTAACTCCGTTTCTTCGTACGATAGTTATTACGAATGCGAGAATGAGAGAGAGAGGGAGAGAGAGAGAGAGAAAGAGAGAGATTATCTCCTATATTATAGAGATCGTTCGGGAGTAACTCGTAAAAACACTCGTAAAGAGACTAAACTCACGATTTTACAAGTCTGTGCGAGCACTTTCGAATCTGTTCTCATTGGGGAATCGAAAGCAAACATTGATCGTTTTGACTATTTGCGAATTAAACGTGATTTCTTTCACTTTTAACAATCTAGATTTGGTATTAAAGGAGAACAAAAAAAAAAGAACAAAAAGAAAATAGAGAATCTAAGCCCAATGTCAGGCTTCGATTTTACACTGTAATGGCCAATTTGTCAATCGTTCGAAATAACATGATCTAGTTGGTAAGAGACAACATTGTTAGAAGAAAAAGATGGGTGAGGAGGGAGAGAAGGAGACAGAGGAGGTAGTAGCAATCAGATCGCGATTCGATCGCGATGCATCGTGCGAGATCGAGCGATCACGTGTGCTTGCACGCGAGCTTCCTCTCTCTCTCTCTCTCTCTCTCTCTCTCTCTCTCTCGATCTTCGAGGAAAGATTCTCGTTACTGCGAAAAACACTTGAGCCTTGATGATATTCGATCGATCGGATAGAATCACTGAGATAGTTTTATTAGAATCGATGTCAATCTCGATCGTATTCTCACCGTGTAAGAATTCTCAAATAGGAAATCGAAAAATTGATGAAATATCATTGAGGAAACGCGATATGATCTTTGGTTAAAATTATATCGTCGACGGTTGTTATATGAGACTTATTGGACTATTATACCAACTGTTAATTTCAAATGCACACGATCATCTATTTATGTGAATAAAACTTATACGTGTACAGAACGGACGTATAAAATGTGTATATTTAATTTGACTCCTCTTCGTCGTCATCATCGTTGTCGTTGTCGACGGTTAGCCTGAGGTATAAGTGGAAAGTTAAAGTCCCCATAAACATGCCTGGCATGTAACGCAGCTGGTACATCGCAAAATCCGACCCAGATGTTGAAACTAGGAAATGAGGAATATGGCGAGAATGAAACGATGAATAACAGGGTTTACCCTAACCGCAGGGTAAAGCGAACAGCTGATCGCTCTTTGACGGCGTCCATCGTATAAATAAGAAGTAAATTATGGTCAGTTGGTCGACTTTGTATGAATAAAAGAAATGGGAATTTGCTTTTGTACGGTTCTCGAACAGTTCTATTCTTTATCATATTCCTGGTATATCTATCAATTCGTGACGATAGTCGATTAACGAGAACACGTTAAATTATTTCTTTGTCTCTGTCTTCACGTTCAGGGTATCTTCTCGCAAAATAGACATACAAGATCGTTCGATTGGCAAGATCGTGCGAGAAAATCGAACGTCCTGCCATCGTCCGCTTCGACTGAGGTTGGTGTTGCAGACTTATAAACGTACACCGGTTCTTATGGTAGTTGCACCGGTTTTAGAAAGAGATAGAGAGAACGTCATACAGTTTATGAGATGGATGGTTGGATGGATGGATGGATGGATGGATGAATGGATGGTTAGTTGGATGGTTGGATGGATGGATGGATGGTTAGTTGGATGGTTGGATGGATGAATGAAAGGGTGGGTGTATGGGTGGAGAAAGAGAGAGAGAGAGAGAGAAAGAAAGAAAGAGTGATTCCCTGCTCAATGTAGTAAGATCATAATTCTCGTTAGCCCAACTATATCGACGTTTGCAAATATCACTATGAATAGTAGCTAATTGACCTAGTTGAACCCTACTCTCAATGCATGTGATATAAATAAAGTACGATTACATACGAGCATTTGATCGAGTGTATATCGTTTATTAAGAATCGATAGGAACACACGCACACGTTCTCTGACCGGACATTACGCGCGAAGTCACTTTGCGAGATAAAACACGATTCTTGGGATCGACGAACGGTCCAACGTATGTATATATACATGCACTGATAACGAGATAAGAAGCACTGATGGCGAGAACGATAGCATCGAGCGTGTAATTATTCCATGACTGCTTCTTGTTTGATTTCTCTTAATACTAACCCGTTTCATTCTTTTGATATATAAAACGATCTATAATGTTCGTTTTAATTTCTTTATACATCGATATAATTTAATTTCTTTATATATCGATATAAACAAATTGTATGATATATAATCTATACGTAATATTTTTCTTTAATTTTTCTATTAAGCTTTTACATTTTCATTCTTTTTCAATAATCTCGGTACTATTTCGATAGTTTTACAGAAGAGCAAAGCATGGCTTTGGAGATCAGAGACGATAATTGACTCGTTAGACGAGCTTGAGCGAGGAGGTAGACGATCTATCCGGTAGTAATTAGCACGTCCAGGAAGTGAGCTTAATCGAGGATCGTTAATTCCGATACATCAAAGTTACGATAAAAATTGTGATTTGTTAGAGAAGCTTTTCGTTATAATTACAATTAAATGTTTAAAAAGAAAGAGAGGGTGAGGAAGACGGAGAGGCAGAGAAAGATAGAAAGGGAAAGAAAGAGAGAGAGAAAGAGAGAGGGAGAGAGAGAAAGGAAGAGGGAGAGAGAGAGAGAGAAAGAAAGAAAGAGAGAAAGAGAGAAAGAAAGAATGTGCTTCGTTTGTCATGTATTAGCAGAATTATGCTTGGTTGAGTATGCATGCTCTCGAAAAAGGATCATTAGTTGTTATAAGAAAATGGACTCCATTTATCCTTTATCAAATTACATCGATAATCGCCATAAAGCGATTATTCTCATCGCGTGTGTAAACTTAAAACGTTAAAACGTATGTGTTACACTACGAACGATCGAATGTATTTTAATTAAGCCCGTTACGAGCTGTATCAAATAACAGAAATAGTTGATATCATATTTTTATTATAATAATTAATTCAGCAAATGATACACGATATAAATCTTCTATTTCTTTTTTATTTGCTTTTCAGTTTCTTTTCTTTTTCTTTTTTTCTTTTCTTTTTCTTTTTTCTTTTCTTTTTCTCTTTTTTTTTTTTTATTTCTTTATCATACAAACCGACTAAACAAATTACGAGATTAATTCGCATCTTATTATCACGCGCACACAGCTAAATTATTGATCTTTCCTACAAGGTTGTTTAAATTTAATTAATAATGTAAATGGAATTATGAAACTTATGATATACCTAATGAAAGTTAACGAAATATTTAGTATCACTGATATGGTAGTTAGTAAATGATTAATTATCTACGTTATTTCTCGTTATGCAACGAAATAACAATAATAACAATAAGCAATGAGAGAACGTATGTACCTCGTAAATATGCGACAAGTTCGTAGAATCGTGCGTGAATCATTCTACTTTGATTCCCGATGTCGATCGATCCGGGATCCCGGACAGAGATCATGGATCTTACCAGATCTGGTTCAGGAGATCTAGGTCATCGTTGCGCAAGTCGTGACACAAACCGTCCGAACTTTTACTAACATCTGTAGAGACACATAGAGAAGAGCAACTTCTACGAAGAAAAATAAAAAATAAAAGAAGGAAACGAATTCTTCCCGAGCGATTCGTTTTAACTTCGTTTGCGTCATCAGCGCATAATATATGTGGATGGAGGAGGAGGGAAAAGGGAGGGATCTTTTTGTTTCTTCGACATCAATCCTCGAATTAGAACAAAAAATTAAAAAAAAAATATTCGAGAAGATTTGCGCAATCGTTGAAATCATTCTTAAATTTTATATTTGTTTGTCTAAAGTCATAGTTTCTTTTTATCACATCGAATAAAAAGAAAATATTTCAATTAGTACGTACATTAGATATTTTATGCATTTGAAAAAAATATTTGATGAAAGGCAAAAAAAATAAAAGAAAAAAAAAGAAATAATTTTCGAACTGCAGTAACAAGCATCAACTTAATCAAAATATATTTCGTTCTTATTTTACAG